TGATTCAGCCTGGGGCTCTCGAATCCGCAGCCTTTATGCATTAACTTGGCTGTGACTTGCATTGGGGGGAATCTGCTTTGAACGATACACTGTAGGGCATTGCTGGACTCCAATCCTGTGTGAAGTCCTACCTTCTCTTCAAAAACATGGACTGTTTCTTAACAGGTCTTTACTAATATAGAGCTCGATACATGCAGTGGTCAGTGATCTTACTCTGAAAGAAGTTCTTCAACTTCCATAGGCCCCCTGTGCCAAGGCTAAGTGTTTGTACACATCTCTCCCAGGGCAGAATGAATCAAATCCTACCTGCTCTCCACTGGGGTAAGATTTCCTAGTTTTAAATGAACAAATGTTGGCAGTGATGCAAGCAAGGTTCATACCGTAGTGGGGGAGGTAGAAATATCAGCCTGGAAAAGGTTCAGTGTTTGTTTTTAAATCCCAGAAGAAACATATGAATGCGATGTATCTGGGATTTAGAAGAAAACAGAGCAGCATATTAGCAACCGCACAGAAACAGCTATATGTCAGAGATCAGCTGCTCTTTAAAAGCCTAAAAGATGCAGCAGGTCTCTCGTGAGTTCTTCCTCCCTCTGTTTCTTGAGCAGTGTGTAACCCACAGTAAGTCTGTTCCATGCTTCCTCTGTCCGCTGAGAGACCCAAGCAAATAAAAGTCCTAACTGAGACTGCTAATTGGGCCAAAACATAAACATGGGTTTACACAGCTTGCAAGCTTAGTGCCTTATTACTCACCATTGCAAACGTAAGCACGAGCTTGTTCGCAGCAGTCAGGCCTAAAGAGCAGATCCAGCATGTACGGAAGTCAGTGGGAGCTCTTCCACAAACGTTAACGTGCTTTGGATCAAATGGGCAGGGCTGGATCAGTTCTGGTCCCGGTGGAACCTGTGACAAAATTGTATACGTTTGCCATAGCAGGACCCACGGCCTCAGCTCTGTTCCCGACACCTTTAAAGCCATCCAAAAGGGATCCCAGCAGCACTGAAAGCAGTCACTTCCATGTAATCTGAGCCACTCATGGACTTTTCTTTCCCTTTGATCATTATGGGAAGCTGCTCTCCCCCAAAAAAACCTCAGACAGGTGTCTTTTCCAGTGTACTTGGCAGGTCACCAAGTTCAGGCTATTTTGAACCAAATGGAATGAAAAATTTTGTGAGGGAGAAGCCTGCCAAGCCCCACTCTTTTCCAGAGAAGGAATTTGGACAGATCACATCCTGCTGATCCCAGCTGTGGCAGCATGGCCAGGGGAGCAAGAAAGACCCTCCCAGATGACTCACAACCAACAAGTTAAATTGCATCCAAAGACAACGGGCCGTCCGTGCAAACCCCCAGGTACTCAGGCTATGCAGTCCCAAAGGAAAGCCCGCGCTTGCTGAGCTGCCTTTTTCTGCGAGAGCCGTGCTGTCAAAAACCCAATCTAGTGTGCAATCAAGTACTTTGCCAAATGGAGTTTATCATACTTTAAACTTGTTTTAAAAAAAATCCAGGACACTTACAGGCTAAGGGGTTGTTTAGGATTACGATTAATTTGTGGTCGAGGCTACAGTTTTCAGGTTCCAGAGAGGTATTATTCAGTATAGATAAGGATTTTTATACATATATATGTATGTATTTTATACATATATATATAAAAGAATATCAGGCAAAAACTTCCAAAGCAGACACTGAGAAGAGAAGCAAAATACAAACTTTTATCTCCAACATGAAAGAAACAAAAACATCCTACCCCTATCACAGGGAAGTTATATACATACATAGCATTATACTGCCAATTTGATTTGTGGTCTCTCATTTTATTTCCTATTTATTTTTTAAAAGAATGAAACTTTAAGCCAAAACCATCTGGAAGAATCGGCAACAGGAACTTAACTAGATTTGTTTCCTAATACTGTTCTGGTGACTATGCAGCTCATGTAACTGTCTGTGTTTTACCTCCCTGAGTTTAGACGGCAGGGTTAATTCTCCAGACATCTGCTGCGGCTTTCCAGGCTGGAGAAGGGCCTTGGCTTCACTGTACCACTGATTTTTTTTCCTTTCTCAACTGCCACTAGAATTTTTGGAGCCCAAAAATCTTCCTGTGTTAAAGGGCCAGTAAATGACACGTGTCTCCTTTTCTTCCCTCTTAACTGAAAGCAGACTGTAATGTGTTCTGTGTGGCCTTGGGTTGTGGTTCAGAAACAACCACTGCTCTCCAGAAAAGTGCTTAAACATATGCTTAAGTTGGCCATTTGGCCTTAATGAATCAAAGTTAAACGCTTTTCTGACTCGGGGCCCTTGTACGCCGGTACATCGAGAACCGCCTCAGATATACTCTCACCCAGGCAAATATTACGGTGTTAACTGCCTCATGCATTGTATACGTTACTGCCTTGTGAATTAGCTTGGTCTTTTCATGACGGTTTTTATCTGTGGTACTGGTGCATGCTTCCAAGAGGGCTGGCCTGCCCGTCACGACCCGACGACATCTCACCCCGCTGCAGCCAGCTTCAACGGTTTTTGGAACAACGGCGACAGAGGGGGGCAGAGCCCCCTGCCCGCGTGTTAAG